AGCATTGTTAGGAGGGTCCTGGGCTGGGGAAGAGTGGGATGTGCTTACTTAACTGTGAGAAAGAGCTCTAGCTTCTGCTCAATGCATTTACAGATGTGAGCCCCTGGGGCTTTTTCACGTTCTTTGGTAAATCAGGTAGCTGAATAGGGGAGGTGTATTCATCATCCAGATGGCCAATATAAATGTTATAAGCATGTTGTGTGTCAAAGTGAGGAGAAATAAATCTTCCTTGCTTTCAGATTCCTCAGCCATCACTTCTTTGGCTCCCCATTCAAGATTCTTGGGAGGACGCTACCATATTTAACGCCATATTTAACAGCAAGTATGGGAAATATCTGTGGCCTTAGCTTGTACACAGAGATGCACCATCTGGTCCACAGAAATTTGCAAGTAGTCCCCAAAGAACCATCCTCAGGGCAGCCAGCAGGGAGAGGAATCATTGCTGTTATCTCCAATTAGTGATCAGAAACAATGGTAGGAATTCCTATACTGTGTGTTGCTTCCTTTCCAACTGAAAGGAAAAGCAGGTATGCTCAGCTAGGGGAATCTCCAGACTGTTCACAATGAAGGTTGCTTTTGCATGCTGTGTACCAACCCACTCAGGAGGAGAGCAGTGTATGAAGCTGGGTATATGCTTCAAGGAGCCATCTGAGCCTTAAGGATGTCATTAATCCAGTTCCTGGAATTGCAAGCCGAGTGCATGTTGCTCCTCCTTTTTTTTCCCCCTTCCCTGCACACTGCATAGGCAGAGCTCCGCCAGGATATTAAACAGCCGATGCTGCAGGCAGCATTGTTAATCTCTTCAAAATATAGGATTCCTCAGAGCTTTAAACAAACCATATTGATCAAGTACTAGTTTGAGGTGTATATATGAAAAGAGGACCCAGGCTTGAATTGCTTATTTGCTGAAGGCTCAGAAAGCAACTAGTGTATACAGTTGTCAATGCTGCCATCTAGTGACCGTTGGAATCACGTATCTGAACTACACATTTCTGCAGAAGGAGGGCCAAACTAAATGTTACAGATGAAATCCATTACTGTTCCAGAGATGAGATTCTAGAAGACTGCCTGAGCAATCACACTTGCAAGTAAAGTCTGTACGTGCCTGCTGATAACCAGTCACAAAACAAAGCAAGTCAATCTGCAAATTTCAACAGGCAGGTAAATTTTTTTCTCTTGTGGCAGCTTTTTCTCAATGACTAGAGTTGGGCTGTTCATTATTTTCCCCTTTCCCCCCTCCAGTTTTTGTACAGTATTCTTTGTTTTTAATATTGTAAGCCGCCTTGAATCCTCTTGGAAGAGAAAGGTAGTGTAGAAATATTTTAAATAATTAATAGATTAATAAACTCAGGGAGGTATGAAATTGCTTGGTGTGACAATCTATTACTTTCAGCCGCTAAGAAATTATCTCTTCTGATGGAGGCTTATTTGTAATGTATTCAGTTGCCCTGCCATGCTTACAAGGTGGTAAAGTTCAATTCATGGTCCAGACAGAAGAGACGCCTCACGTTCAAATTTCAGGATAAACACGATTGGACTAAGTGGAGGCAAACCTTTTTCAGCTCAAGTGCCCAAAAGGAGGGGGTGGGGAAGAAACCAGTGGCTGCCGTGCCACCCAGAAGACCAGAACCGGAACAGGAAGTGGCAGTTTCAGGGGGAATCATAGGGACGGACAGGAAGTTAAAGGGGGAATCATGGTGACAGACAGGAAGTTAAAGGACCCAGAACAGGAAGATAAAGGGGGAATCCCAAATGCAGCCACTTCAAAAGGTTTGCCAGGTGCCAGAAGAAAGGGTTTTGTGTGCCAGCTGTGGCACGCATGCCATAGGTTCGCCATCGCTGGTAAAGGCTGACTGTGTTTCTAAAGTCTAATAATAATAATCATGTGCCATCAAGTCAATTCTGAGTAATGGCAACCATGTTCAGGGTTTCTTAGGTAGGGAATACTCAGAAGTGGTTTACCATTCTCTTCTTCTGGAGGGGCACCCTCCAGAAGCTTGCCCAAGACTACACAGGCTGGTTCTATTCACAGGAGGCACAGAGGGGAATTCAACTCCCAACCAGATACCTAAATCACTGGGCTATCCAACCAGCCCAGGAGATTAGTGTGTGTGTATAGAGAGAGTGTTTCTCCCTGATACACTAGTGCTGCTGTGGTTTACTTACAGGATTTTAAAAAACCAAACTGGATACCTTCTGGAAATTGCAAGCCCAATCTGGAACCTACCTGACAACTTCAGTTGATGGCAACTCTTTTTGTTGCTTGCAAGGCAGGCCATAATCAGGCTACATGGCAAAAGACAGTAAAACAGACTGTCACTGTCTGAGGGTAACTTGCTTCACTAGATTTCTAGGTGTATGTGTGTAGCAAACAACCCTGCCCTCACCTGTCTGTCACCGCAGAACATTGAAGAAGGAGCCAATGAGTGGATGGAAGGCAGAGCCAAGGGGGGAGGGAGCTGGATATAAAGACTGGTGGAGAGATTCTGAGAGAGAGACTGTGTGTATCTTGAAAGTGACTAGAGAGTGAGTTAAAGATCTGTAAGAACATAGATTAGAACAGAGGGTTAAGAGAGTGTTGCAGTTGTACTTGATTAGATTCAAATATAAGTGATTGGCAACCTGTGATTGATCTAATGAATATTTATCACCTAATAACTTCCCTGCTCAAATAAAAACCTTAAAGTTTAAACAGCACACTTGTCTCTATATGTAATTGATATTAAAGCATTAATATCTGGTGGCAGTGAACAAGAAAGAAGAGCGAGAACCTCATGAAGGCCTGGGGGGATAGGGACTTCAGAGGAGATCCCCACAATGTGTTAAGCTGCAATCTAAGATATTAGTGCAAAATATTTTTCTGCTATAGGCAGACTAATTAGAAATGTGGGATTGGTGATGGCTGCATATTTATTTTGAGAGACCAAACAATTCATAGCTGGTCAATTCATAAATTGTTGTAGTTTGGCTGCAAAGAATGAGGAGAAGGAACTATTGCCAAACTTTGTGTCTGTTATTAGTTTTTGTCTGATAAAGCCATCCCATTAGTGAAATCCTGGGATGAGGCAGCCCTGGTTACTATCAAATCAACTTTCTTCTTCCCTTTTTATTCCTTGACACCCTGTATCAATCCAGAGATTGCAAAGGTTTGGTAGTTAACAAACAAACAAACTGCAGACATTTCTCAATTTTATATTCATCTTTTACAGACATATTTTCTGAGTGACCACCCACTGAATTGTATGCATGTATGCATTGTGATATTTTATTTTCTATCACCCCTATTCACATTATGAAGCTATGAGATGATGATGTCATAATATAAAGTTGAGGAAGACTCTAACATAAACAGCTATTGCATGGTTACCACAAGCAGGATGAATTACAACCAGAACCAACATATGTTCATTTGTTTTATCGCTATAATTTCAAAGTTGTGTAGCTCAACATTTTGTAACATAGAATTTGGACTACCATAGTACAAATTGTTGTTGGTTCTGTTGTTATTAACCTTATGCATAATCCAGATAATATCCAGTAGCTCAATTAGAACTGATACTTGCTTGTTTTGAAACTATCCTTGGTGTTTTTCTCTGTCTGGGATATATACTGTAATTTTGTTTGGCAGAGGCAAAGAGCTGCTATCTCTGTAGAGCAACTCTGTCTCAGGTGCAGGCGTGTAAAGAGCTCACCTGGGAGAAAATCAGCACTAACAGGAGAGGCCGCAGATGCAGTGCTCAGCAGCAGAAACATCAAGCCTGGGAGATCAGACACTGCCTAGACAGCCCACTTCCAAAGCATCTATGCTGATGGTTAGGCCAGTGTTCTTTTAGCCATCTCTTCTTGCAGACTGCCAGCAAACGGTTGATTTCGGATAAACCAACTAAGCTGTTTTAGGTGCAGAAAGGGCCTTCTCTCCCTCCCACCCCCATCACCAGAACCAGAAGTATACATTCTACAGCATCACCATCTCCTGATTATTCATTTTTATTTTTGACTGTCTATACTAAAGATTCACTTTGTGATCTTCTAAATGCAAAGCAGTGGGGAAATTGTAGTCTGTCTGCAGCCTTAGTAGGTGTAATAATCACACTCACACAAGGAACAAATGTGTTTGCTTAAGAAGCAATTAAGGTGTCTGAAGAAGTGGGATTTCATCCATGAAAGCTCACACTTGAAAATGTCACAGTTTTGCCCTCCCCTCCTTTATCCCTGAATTTTTACTAATTTGTACAGGTTTGCTTGTTCAACTTGTGTTCCAAAGGGTGGAGGGAGTACTTTATCCCACCACGGCAGAATGTGTTCTATTCCCTAACTCAAAACACAGAGCACTGGTGTCCTTTGGTTAGGGAAGACAGCTCTCTATCCAAAGGGGTATCTAAGGACCACCCTAATTATTCTTTGACAGTATCAGAGATATTGCCCCTTTGAAAAGACTGACCAGCCCAAGGCTGATTTCAGCATAAACAGCCATAAGGAGGATCGTAGTCTTGAAATTGCCAGTCCCCACTGAGTACCTAGACAGCAGACTCAACCGACCTACAAATCATCAGCTCACAGTCTTCCCATTCAAATGAAATGCACTGCAACTTTGTTTAAATTATTAATATAATTTTAAAAGTTGCATCTGCACATATATATTAGCATATGGTGTTTTATTCAAATTGGTGTCCCCTTTTTAAAAAAATTCCTTTTTTGTGACATATGTGGCCACCTGGTACTTTCCAAAGAGGACTGAAGATTTTAAGAACATTCTTAGGAACTGAACAATATTTTAGTTTTAAGGCCCTTGACAGGAAGCCACAATATGTAACACAATTATAAACTGTACTATGAACCTAAATAGATATCTGTAAGCTAGCTGAGACTGTAACAATACAGTGGCTTTTCCTGAAAGAGCTCTTCACTCTTGAAATTTCAGCTCTTCCCACCTCTCTTGATGCTGTTCCCCCATCTGTTGTGATGTCACTGTTTGCCTATGTTGAGTTTTCAGCTGAGTCACGAGCTTGCATTTATGCTCTCCCACCTTGCAATAACATCAGAAGACTAGATGGAGGTCCATGGAGCTGTGGACTTTCTGGCTACTCTGACAAAGGTATGAGACTGACATCCACAGGACACAGGTCTAAGAAATTAGGAAAGTCTAGTCTAAAGTCTGAGGCCAATAAGCATCTACAGTACATATGTAAAATTATATTACTGCTCTTTATGTATAGCAATACAGTGATGACCTGCAAGATGAATTTAATTTGTTCCACAGGTAATTATTCGCGAAAAATTCATCTTGTGAAATGCGTTTTCCCATAGGAAAACATTGAAATCTAATTAATGCATTCCTATGGGCAAAAAAAGTCAGAACAAAGTCAAATTTGGTTTACAAAGGGTTTATTAAGTGCTCTTTAAAGCCATACATATTGTGCAAATGATTTCAAAAATTTCAATCCAGAAAAAACTTACCTTTTTAACATCACAGAAAAACATTTAAAAATCAGCAAACATGAGGCCGGAACAAAAAACGGAAAACATTCTTCTTGCGAGGAACATTTGTCTTGTGAGTCCCCAACCCCATTGCCAAAGCCATTTGTCTTGCGAGTTTTTTGTCCTGCGAGGCATTTGTCTTGCGAGGCACCACTGTACATCGGAAGTTGCCTTCTACTGTTAGTGAGACTTTTGCTCCATTTAGCTCAGTGGTTCTTAACCTTGGGTTACTCAAGTGTTTTTGGACTGCAACTCCCAGAAGCCTTCACTACCAGCTGTGCTGGCTGGGGTTTCTGGGAGTTGCTGTTCAAAAACACCTGAGTAACCCAAGGTTAAGAACCACTGATTTAGCTCAATGGTTCCCAACTTTGGGTCCCCAGATGTTCTTAGACTAAAACTCCCAGAAGCCTTCACCACTAGCTATGCTGGGCAGGATTTCTGGAAGTTGTAGTCCAAGAGCCTCTGAGCACTGTTCTAGCCCTCCATATGTGTTTTTAGCCTACAATTCCCATCAGGTCGTAGTTAATATGACAAGATAATAGGAACTGTAGTCCAAAAATATTTGGAAGATCAGTTGTTCACTCCTAAGCTAACTAGTCAATATTCACTATTGTTTACTCTGAAAATGAAGAATATTTGGCTCTCCAGATCTTTAAAACTACAGTTCCCATCAGCTTCCCCCAGCATGTCTTATGGTAAGGTATTATGAGCAGTTGCAGGCCAAAACATCTGGATAGCAGAAAGTTCCTCACTTATAGGCTGAAATCCTCTTGAGAAACAACATATGTGTAACTTGATGTTACACAAGCGGTAATACTTATCATGCCAGGGTGGAAGTACTGTTCATTAAGCAGCAGGTGTATAGTTCAATCAGTCAAAGGAGGAACTGCACAGTCAATTGCATGATCAAATTGTGCAGTCTTCAATGCTTGGGCACACTTACACAGGCATAAAGTTATGCTGTGCCTAGACCAATGGTTCCCAACCTTGAGTCCCCAGATGTTCTTGGACTACAGCTTCCATATATCCTGGCCAGAATAGCTAGTGGCGACAGCTTCTAGGAATTTTAGTCCAAGAACTAGGGACCCACAGTTGGGAACCATTGACCTAGATAAATAGGATCCTGGCCACAGTCTCTTTCAGCTGGAAGCCAGTGGTCTTGGTCAGAGAACTTTGCTTGCTGTCTTGCCTATGATCTCATTATGACACCTTGCAAAATAGCAGCCTGTTGCTAGAAAAGGGCAGGCATATTTTGTTGTTCTTTTATAAAATGGGCCAGTAAACCACAACAATAACAATATGTATAATTTACGACATGCTTTACAATTCTTATCGTCATCTCCATTATGACCTTATCAGGCAAATCATTATTATGTACATTCTTAGGTCATCTCTTTCCAGCAGCTTAGGAACAGGCAACATATTTAACATCAAAACAGAATAATAAACTATAAAAAAGACGTACAAGCCCAGTAAGGTAGAAACTCGCATTATTCTTTGTATCTTGTCAACCAAATCTTTGTTCAACATTTTAGATTTTAGCTTTGCTTCTCATTTAACCATCTGAGTGAAAGTTGGTACTTTCACAAGTTGCTCCTGTGTTTAAAAATGAGTTCAAATATTGGTCTGTGAATGAAAATTCTGGATTTTATCCCAGCTGAGATGGCTGTACATTAGTCCCTTTGAAATACATTGGCCTTCAGTTGGTCAGCCAGTGGGATATATTGCTTAAAGCACTGAAGCAGAAAAGGAAAAGGCCCAGTTCCCTTAGGCCATGAATCTCATGGTGTGACCATAGTCTATCCTTTAGCCTAAGGAGCTTCAAAGGATTGTTATAAGAATGTAAATGGGAGAAGAATTAGGCATGCTTTTTTAAGCTCTTTGAAAGAAAGGAAGGATATAACTGTGGTAAACAATTAAGAACTTTTAAAAAAATGATTTCAAGTGGAATAAAGCAGGATTGGGCAATATGTGTTCTTCCAGTCTTTCTTGAGGCTTTTGGGGCTCCAGACTACCTCCAACCCCACCAGTATATCCCAGAAGAGGATGTCCACTCACTTCCTGTTTCAATTCTATCCCCCTCCTTTTTCTCTCTCTTTTTTAAATTTTGGGACTGTGCATGTGACTCACAGTATGCCCTGGGGGAAAAATCATTTCTGGGTCACTTGAACTTTCCAACCCATGCACTAAAGCACAACAAATACTGTAGTCTGAATCCAACCTATTATTTAAACAGTTTTGTCTTCAGCAAAATGTAAGTAAATCTTTAAGTGTCTGGATGCAAAACTCTCTGCCTATATGCTTTTCCACCCACCGCCCAATGTATTTTTGTCCTATTATAAAATACTGTAGAGGTTTAATTACTAGTGGTGCTCCTGAATATCAGCTTGGGACACAGCCAGGGTCGACATCCAGCAGCGCCAAGGGGTTTTTAACAAAGCAATGCTGTACTTGTTGTTCTTCCCAGCCTGTTTTTCCACCAGTCTTTCCATTCACTTACTCCACTGGTATATAGAAAATGCAAGATTCCTGCTGGGGAACAGGTGGGAAGAAGACAGGCAAGAAGACCAGGTGAAGAATAGAACAAGAGGCACAACTGCTGCAAACTTCTCAAAGCCCTTGAAGGTAGAGACACCACCAACTCTCAGACAACTTTAACAGTGAAAGAAACTTGCATTGTGGCATTGAATAACTTGTTTATTTTTGTTTTCAATTGTACAGAATTCTGCCTTCTGATATTGACCCAAACTGAGGCTTAATCCGTATTAATTCCATCATATTAAATATTTGCCACTTGGCTTACTCAGTAAGCCTATATATGTTGTCCTCTAGAGACAAGGGCAGAATCCTGTTGCTTAGTGTAGCAAATTGCGTTGTCCTCTAGAGCCAAGGGCAGAATCTTGTTGCTTAGTGTAGTACAGTTGTGTTCAAAATTATTCAACAAGCAATGGGGATTTGGTGAGCTCCTCCATAAATTATCAACTCCTCCATAAATTCTGTTGATTCGAGCCAATTCCTCCATAATTTCCATTTATTCAAGTGGACCTACTCTAACTGCAACTTACTTTAACATATTATGTCACAGTTAGAGTAGGCCCATTTGAATCAAAGGAATTTACAGTACAGAGGAGTTGACTCACTAGATCCGCATTGATTCAATGGGCCTGCTTGTGTGTCAGTTACTCCACCGAAGAACAAGTTTTTTACAGAGGGGTTGACTCACTAGATCTGCATTGATTCAATGGGCCCACTTGCGTGTCAGTTACTCCACCGAAGAACAAGTTTTTAGCTAAGTAATGACAGTGCATCCACAGAGGGTGGATTAAGAGGAGGAAATGTAGCGCCAGCCTTATCGTACCAAAACGTTTACAGACAATACATACATTGCAACATCATTGTTACAAATGCTAACATTTGAAGCAACCTGTGTGTTGATCCCCAAATAATGGGATCAGCTTGTTGCATGAATGGCAGATGGGGAAGCAAGCAGCCACCCTTCTGGTACAGGTGACAGATTTGACAGGTTGAGCTGGATAGAACTAGGCACAAGTTCATAAGGCATATGAATTTTGTGACTGTTCGGGGGCATTTTCTTTCCAGAGGAGTGAGATCACATAATCAGTAATGCTTTCCTGGAATTTGTAGGGGCTTCTGCAGCAACTCAGCACAGAACAAGCAAAGGCTACTGACTGCTGCTCCTTATGGGAGCATCCCATGTGTACTTTGGAAGAAAATTCCGAAGTAACCCTGTTCAGATAAATGTGAGTATTCTGTAAATATGTCATTTTATTTGAATGCCATGCAAACTGGAATCTTCTTGCAGAAGCATGAAGTTGTGCAGCTGGTCCTGCAGGTGGAATAGATGACTTGGGTCTTTGGTAGGAAAGCCTATAGAGAAAGAGGGGAACCTTCTGGGGACAAGGGCTGTATTTTGTAGGTCAGAAAGAGAGAAAATCATCTTCTTAATGAAAACAGATGCCAGTTTAGATCCTGTTGAATTATCTGCCAGGACAATCTTCCACACATATACAGTATTCAGAAGTGAGCCATATTGTGTCCAAAAGAACTTATTCTCAGACAAATTGATGCACTTCAAATATATATGGATAACCATGCATTTACCAAGTTTAATTTTTTTAAAGCCCAACATTTTATTAGACCTTTGCCCACTAGTATAATGAATATAGTCAAAGCTATTAACTATATAATATTAAATCCTACCTATAAATATACCATAAACTACTATTTTAACATTAAAAATCTTTATGCCAGTTTTAAGAGAGATTGACAGGAGAACAGATTTAAATGGATAAGTGATTTTTCAGCCATTGAACATAGGAGCTCAGATAAGTAGAATGGTTGATGTTATCCAACACAGTAAAGGGTACCTGGTGAGCAGGAGGTAAATTGTGATCTATTGATAGACCACTAGATGACCCTGCAGTACATCTTTTATTGTTTGTGACTCCCCATTGTTTAACAATAGCAACAGCTTTTCTCCCGCAGTCCCCTCATGTTGTTCTAAATGTATTTGCTAGCTTTAATATTTGGGAGGGGGTGTTAATATTGTTTCAATATTCCCATTTCCCCTTGAATGATGCCCGTCTTTATCCAGACAGCAACATTTTAATGTAGTTGGGCTGAGCGACAGGGGCCCAAGTTTACCCACTTGAGTTTTGTCACTCAGAGGGCGAGTCTCTGATCCCGCTTCACTCTCTAGCTATTATACTATGCTGGTGCTCCTTAAGAAAGGTACGTGGAGAAAAACCTGTAAACTAATGTTTGTCACTAAAAACAATTCCTGCACAGAGTATACCACCAGGAGCATCCTGGGTCTTAATTCATGTATCCGTTTGCACCTGGCTGTAGCTTGGTGGTCTTCAGGTTTCTAGTGAAGCAAAAAGTTCATCTTGGGAGCTGAAGGTCTGTTCTTCTCTGTTTGAGGGTAACTAGAGACCAAATGTTGCCTTGATATTCTAGTCAGTGCTCCATAAATAAGGAGGTGGTGGGGTAGAAAACATGAAGCATCATGGTGGGTCCCTAGCATCCCTGTGGCCCTCCAAAACTGGCACCTTTAAATTTCAACTTTTTGAAATATTAGATCGGAAAATCCTCTTGTACTCCTCCACAAGGTGTGAAGCAAAATTCTGCTATGTCTGTAATGCCTCCGGATCCCTCCATTTATTATTATTTTGTTTAAGCCATTAAAAAGTGCTAAGACGTTTTTATTTTATTTTATTTTTTTAAAATCTCATTTTATATAAACATGTTACAGCCCTCAAAGGTCCAGAGATGTTCATGTGCAGCCCCAGGCCTCAGGAAATTGCTCTTCATGACTTTTGTTGTACAATGGCCCTATGCTAAATCTGTGTGTATTAGGTCTCTGATTGTCAGCTTTGGCTCTCCTTGCTAATGCCATCCTCTAAATTTAGCACAGTCTGCCCTGAAGGCAGATAGCTGATCTCTTGTTTGTGGGGAGGAAAACAGAATTTTGTTGATCATCAGATCTTGTTCTGGTAGTGGTAGAGCTTAGCAATGATAAATAACAATGATAAATACTCCCTGGAAAGAAAAGTACTCAATAATATTTACTTTAGACTTAATCCCAGTGCAGTACAATGTATGTTTACTTAAGAATAGGAAACAATATATTCAGTGAACTTAGTCCTAGGCAAATATACATAGGATTGCAGTTAAATTGCACTGACTCCAAAGAAAGTGGGTATGGGAGTACAAACTTGCAAAATAATTCTATACATGACTGTTCAGGTGTGTGTCCCCTTCAACTCAATTAAACATACTGGCAGGAAATAATATTCGAATTAAGAAACATTTCAAAAGTAACGTGATTTACTTACAAAGTTGTTTTTTGATGTAACAAGTTAACTTTCAAATTACAAAAGTTGTTTGTAAAGGACATTTTCCAGCAGATTTAGGAGCATTTTGTAAAGGCATTTTCAAGTTTTATGCCATTTTCCTGACAATCCTAAGTAGCAAGGGAAATATTGTTTTGCTGGATCTGATATATTTTGGCAATTCCAGGATATCTTTTTGTAAGCGTTACCAGCTTCTGCCGCTGGAGGGCCACTATATTTCTCCACATCCCCCCTCTTCCCCATCTGCTGGTAAGGCAATGCAATGTGCCAGAAACATATACTGCAACAAATTGTTTTGTGAGTGAAATAGTACTAAGGGTAACAATACTCGGGGTGCCATGAAGTAATCAGTAATGCAGAGTTCTCCTTCATACAAAATGTTTCAGGTTCTGGGACTATCCTGGCTCATTTTTGGAAACTGGCCACAGCAGCATCCAGTATCTGTCAATGTGAGCTACAGTGTAAAGGAAAATGGCTGCTCAGTACTAAGGAAAACCCAGTCTTAGATGCTAGTGGCACCCGACATGCAAAAATATCTAATTGAGATCTGACAGATTTCTTTAAAAACAAAACAAAAATATTTAGAGAAAGTAGAATTTAGCCCAGAGACGGGGAGATTCACTTCACTTTCTCCCATCCTATGGTCTCTCTCCTCCAAATTACACTCTCCCATGGTTTCTTTTCCAAAAGGATTAAACATACTTTGTGAACGCATGGGGTTGGCACAGGAGCAAGATCCATTCAGGGAGTGGGAAAAAAAGATGACAGGAAATACACTAAAAGCCAGAAGGAAGGAACTGTTTCATAACTCAGGGCTATAGCACATGTTTAGCATGTCAAAAGCACCAAGTTCAGTTTCTGTTATCTCCAAGTGTGAAATGTTTCTGTCTGAAATCCGAGAAAGATGCTGTCAGTAACTGTTCGAAGTATTGAATTATATGGCCCAATGAAATGTTTCTGTCTGAAATCTGAGAAAGTCACTGTTCGAAGTATTGAATTATATGGCCCATAGTCCAACTTGATATAAGGCGCTTTCCTATCCTCAAAGGGTCCCTCTGCCCCTTATACTCATCTAGTCTGAGTTCCCTTGAATCTAGCACCTCTGTATTTTCAAACATGGAGACAGGACTTAACTCTGTGTAATTGTATCTATCTGAATTCCAGAGTCATTTGTCAGAGGTCTTTCTCTGTGTTTTGCCTAAGGACAGGGCCTTTTCAGTGATGGCACCATTGCTGTAAAATGTTCTCCCCTCCCCTGTAGGATTTCCTGGCACCTCTGCCATGTTACAGTGACATAAGAGGTTCTAGTACCAGAAGTGCAGGAAGGGGGAACACACTACATCCCCTGCCTGCAACTGGACAAGAGAGCTGTCAGGATTCTGGAAACATATGTCAACATCAAAATACAGCCAATAGAGCTCTCCAATAGGTAATTGATTGAGATTAATGCCTCATTCTGAAGGTTCCTTCCTCAGAGCAAGGTGTTATAAAAGGGACAGCCATGGAAATTGCTTGTGTTGTTTACCTTGATACAGGCTTACTTTCATTAAGCTGCTGATTTTGGCTTATGAAATAACTTTGTCCTACATATCCCTCAACAGTAACTAGTTAGGTTACTTCTAACTAGTTACTTTCGAGCTGTGGATGACCAAGTGAAAAGAAGACCTCTGTTTAAATCCCCAGTTACATTCAAATGCCAGGCAACCTTTGTAAAAGGCATTTAGCTCAGCCTACTTTCCAGAGTTTTTATGAAAATGAAAAATAGTGTTAAACCTCCTTAGAAAAAGGATCCCCTTAGAAAAAGAATGAGATAATGGGAAATAAATAACTAGATTGCTGCTCGGTTCCATATAGAGTTACTCCAGATAATTGTTCTGCTGAATTCAGTATGTGTAGGACAGCCTGTGGAACATTATTGTATCATAGCAAAGTTCCCTGTCCATTCCACACAACCTCCTTGCCAGAAACGAGGTCTGACTAGTAGAAGACCTTTCTCTAGGAGTGGCTCATGACTGGAATGTGTAAGGGAGTCCTCATAAATGTTGGGGTTGATATGGCTCACTTTTCTGGTCCACAAGCTAAACATGTCTTAAACTCCTACTTTCTTAAAAGTTAGGGTTCTGGCCACACTTTCTGTGCTGATCCTCTCTCTTTTTAGGATTTATATAAAGAGTGCAGGTAGACAGATCAATATGGTCTGGAGTACTCAGGTTTGTTTTGTGCTGGTATCTCAGATGACAGCCACTGTACTGCAATAAGAGAGCCTGTTTACAATGAAGGCATAAATTACGCAGTGTTTATAGGGGCGTGTTCTTCACAGGCTACTGGCAGACACCTGCTCTCTACTCTTCCTGCCTTGCTATCGGGAAAGAGTGCTTCAATCGTGGACTTCTTTTGGAGGATCACAGAAAGGATGAAAACGCCACGATGTGAGTACGTTCTTCTGGTAAGTAATATGGACTATGCTTCTGGGGAAGGGAATGGAAAGGAAGACAGGGATATTTCTAGTCCAGGTTCTACCCAATGGTAGTTCTTATTCTAATAATCTATGCAGTTTTATCTATTTGCAGTTGTGGGAAAGGGGCTGTTTCAATCTATTGTCCCTGTGCAGAGCTGTCTGAGTAAAGTTTTTGCCTCCTAAGTGTTTTGGATTATTTCTGTATGAATTCTGCCTGTATCCTAAATCTAGTATTTGAAATGAATGGAACATACATTGCTAACATTAATGGAACTTAAGACCCATTGATTTCAAAACTCAGTAACAAGTCCTCTTCACTCTGGTAAGTCAAGCTCAGTGCTTATGACTGAGCCCAAGGTCACCCAGTAAGCTTAATGGCCAAGTGGGAATTTGAACTCCTGTCTCCCAGTTCCTCATCCAACACTGTAATTACTACACCACACTTAGTCTTTCTGGATTTATTATTGAAAGTACAGTACTGTATAGTGTGTTGTGATTTTATATTGCTGTGACCTGCAGATAAAGATGCAGCTCATGAAAGGCTTAGAGGATGGAAGCCAGAAAGCTAAACAAGAAACATTGGTTTCCTCCCACATACAACTAAGCGCAGCACCAACTTGTGATTAAACTGTACAGGGATACTATCCATACATACCTCACCACTACAGCCTGTCCACTTCACAGTAAGAGCAGGTGTTGTAAGAAAGAGGTGTGAGGATTACTTTGTGCATATGTATGTGTGTATGTGTGTGTGAAATGGTGTGAAACATGAAAAGAATAATCAAAAGAGAAAGTGTCAGGATAGGTCTTCACTCCATACCAAACATTCAGAACTCCTGCCCGAACTTGGTTAATTAAGTTAATGTTAAATGAAATCTAAAGGTTCAGAGACTGGCAGACCCAGATTAAACAAACTGGGATGTTTCCTTGCAAACTTCCAGGCAGCACTGAGATAATGTGAAATCCTTATGCCAGTGTGTTAGCGCTGAATTAGATATACCTTCTGTGCTGTCACAGTTCCCCACCCTCTTGCTCATCATAGCAAATTTGACAGTATTTGAACTACGCCCTGTAACATTAAACAAATCAGGAGGTCGTAGTCGCAAAGAACAAAATACTTGTTTTTATTTCCTTCTCCTAATATTGAAGGTATGAACTACATCAGATTCATAATGAAGATAATATAGCAAAGAATAACTTAACTTCATTTGTGAAAGAACTGGAGCTTTTAAAATTATGGAAGTGTGACCTTACACACATGGACTGAGTGCCAACTTGCACTACATCACACTCTCTGCTGTGGACATTGCAATGATAATGAGGTGTGTGAGAAGAATGTGTTTTATATTACAGACCAGAAGCTTCTAGCACGCAGGTGGCCTGTTTGTTTATTCATTTAAAATATTTTTACACTGCCTTTATCCTAAGAAAGGACTCAGGGCTTTCATATAACATTAAAACTGAATATTAAAGCTAAATCAGACCTCTCTAGGCATGGGCACAGTTGGTGCGCTAGTTTTAACTGTTTAAAAGCACTCCTGACCACCACTGAAACCTGGTCATCCAGACTCAGAGATAAATCCAGGGGTACAGCTAAACTGTGCACTTGTGTTTTCAGAGGGGGTGTAACGCTATCCAGCACAGGCTGAATCCCTGTTCCTTGACCTGCCTTTTGACTAACCAAGAGTAACTCTCTTATCTGAATTAAGTTTCAGTTTATTTGCAATAGTAACTAAGTTTTTTTAAGAAACAAGCAAGTAATTTTATTTTAATGTAACCAATGGTAAGTAACTATTTTGGAGGCTTTGAAGTTATAGCAATGAGCAGCCACACTTTATTCAGAGCATGGGAAGTTACTTTTTAATCAGTTCAAAAGAAAATCATAGATGGGATTACAGTGGGGTCTTGACTTGAGAACTTAAGCCGTATTGGAAGGCGGTTCTCAAGTCAAAAAGTCTGTAAGTCAAGTCTCCATTGACCTATAGTGCATTGAAAACCGATTAATCCCGTAACAGGCCGTTTTTGTTCCATTTTGGTTTTTTTCTGGTCTGTAAGTCAAATCTCAGTCTGCAAGTCAAACCTAAATTTTGCAGCCAGAGAAGTCTGTAACTCAAAAAGTCTGTAAGTCAAGCCGTCTGTAAGTCAAGGGTCCACTGTATGTTGTACCATTCATACATTTGTATAATACATTTTAAAGCATTTTAGTTGTTGCCAGCTTCGATGCCTGCTTTGCCTTCAATCTGTAGTTGTTGTTTGTAAAACACTCAGTTTAACAAGGTGGTATATTGCCTTCGTGGGACGTGATGGCACTGAGGGTTAAACCACAGAAGCCTCTGTGCGACAAGGTCAGAAGACCAGCAGTCATAAGATCGAATCCATGTGAGGGGGTGAGCTCCTGTCGCTTGTCCCAGCTCCTGCCAACCTAGCAGTTTGAAAACATGTAAATGCGAGTAAATAAATAGGTACCACCACGGTGGGAAGGTAATGGCATTCCGTATCTAGTCGCGCTGGCCACGTGACCACGGAAACTGTCTACGGACAAACACTGGCTCCATGGCTTGGAAACAGGGATGAGCACCGCGCCCTAGAGTAGGACACGACTGGACTAAATGTCAAGGGAAACCTTTACCTAACCTTTTTATATTACCTTCACAATATTTTTTGCAATTGATAAGGGAGAGACTTTGGAATTCAGGAAGCAGACAAGAATATTATTTTGATAAGGTGAACTAGAGGGCAAAGAGCAGCCTTGATACTGAGGTTTGTGCTGGTTTTCCTCCAGTGCCATTGTTCTTTCAAATTATGACTGGTATCTTTTTTTTCATGGGCCCAGGCAAGTTACCTCAACAAGCATATTACATCACAAACTTCACACTCTCTCTGTGTAATCTCAACCCATATATTCAAAGTGATTGTACTGAGTTTGAGTGAGAGCAATAAAAGCAACTAGAGACGCCAACTCTCTGACAATTCCCAGCTGTACTTAAAACACACACTCTTCCTGCTTGTGGGTGGAGCTAGGTCCCTAAGCATGTACAGTACATGCAGCTGGGATTGTGAGGACTGTTCTCATGTTATTCTTGGATATTAGCTGGAGTGTCCATGCAGACACCACGTGAACAATTACTGCTCAACAAGACAATAGCTGCCACCAGGAAGTTTCCCTATCTGTTCACACATTGCTTGTCCAGGGGCCACGCAGCTTTGCTGCATCCTGGAAGTCCGCATCTGCTCTCCCAAATGCAGAAACAAGTTGAGTGAGTCCCTTCTTTCCAGAGAACATCATCAACCCTGTAAAAACCGAATTGTGAATTGTAATGATTTTGGGGAAGTTTTACAGTAGCCAATCCCAACCTCTCTGCATTTAATTTAGGACAAAGCTATTCGTAGCCACACACTGAAAAATGCATAATGTGGAGAATTTCAATTTTATTTAAGAATAGAAAAGCCCATTTACTAAAGAAGCAAGAATCCTTTTAGGTAAACCAGTAAGACAATACTAATAAATGAAGGAAAATCGAAACGGCAATAATTCCCAAAAACAAGGACAAGTAAAGACCAAGTAAAAGAACACTTACATGAGAAAATAAGAAAACTAACTAGACTACTCTATTTACACGGAGGGCATAAGAATAGACATAGTTAAGTCTCTGAGCTTATGCAAGGTGTCAAAAAGTCCCCCTTTGCTTAGGGATTCTGCTGTTTTTATACCTTTCTTGATTTTTGGTGGGGTGACAGCTACAGTATTAATTAATCAAGATGGAACTTCCCAGAAGGTGGTCAGTTTACAGCTCCCATTTGAAATGCTTAAAAGAATGACCTTGGGCACCTCCTTATCTCTCACAATACCCAGATGACTCATTCTGCAAGCTATCGACTTCCTCTCCTGTCAGTCTTCTTTGTACCCAAGATGGATGAAGACTGGTTTCCTGGCAGAGATGCCATAATTTATATCTCTGTGTTATTAGGCATCTTTGATCTTCTTCATTACCCAGTAGTTTGAAGACAGGAGACAGCACAACCATAGGCTGCCATTACAGTTTACTAAGTTTCCATGCAGTTTTGTTCTTAGAAGTCTATCTTTCTTACTTTAGGTTTGATATACCAAACACTAAAATGGTTAATTATCATCACACTTAAAGGAGCCAATCTAGAGTATATCTGCAATGCATCTGAAAAGGATTTTATTGCCTAAAAGATAAAATCCATTGGCCAGCCTACAGTTTGGGTAAAATCAAAGAAAGAGCTTATCTCATAATGGATACACATAACAATTTACATACAGATAAGATCATTATAATTGACAGTTTACATATACATGTTTCTTGGACAAAGTGGATTGGAGGATATGGCTATGGGGGGTAAAACTCATTAGTTTGGCTGTGTATTATCTTCAGTATCAGAAACAATATGTCTCTGATTAACTGGGGAATATATCAAGAGATATGCTATTATATATGTGTCCTGTTAATGGCTTTCCATAAGCCCCTGACTGGCTACCTTGTGAACAGAACACTGTAAGAGACTAGCCTTTTGTCTGATCCAACAAGGGTCTTCTTACATTCTTAACACACTGAAAACCATCAAACAGCCCACAGATTAACTACATGGTACTAACACTGGGAAGAAGATTCAGCCTTCCCATTTTTGCAAGACAGAAAAATAGAATAAGACACAGGCAAGAGAATACTGTATACTTCTTTTAATCAATAGAACTCTCCAAGCCTTACATTTAGTCCCTACTTGTAGGGTGGCCCTGAAAACATTACCAAGATGTTTTCTAATGGCCCCAAATTACATTGGTGGAGGTTTTAAGGAATCACAAACTACAGCCAGTTTGTCCTTTTTGTTAAACTTTTGAAGATTTACTACAACAAAAGATGAAGAGAGGGCTTAGGCTAATTGACTGATCAATTGTATTCCCAACATTTAGGGGGAAGGCTTTGTTCTAGAGAAGACTAATACTCCTTTTAGAAGATTCCTTTATACATCATTTCCTTATCTTTTTACTTTGATGCCTGTCTGTCTTGTAACAACAGGATAGAAGCCCTGGACAATGAGGATTATTCTGTTGCTTCAATAGGGAAGTTGAGTTATCACATTATTCCTGTTTAACCATGTGCATTCTTATAGCAGCCCAGCCTGCTGGAGGAAACCCTGTCGCTTGAGCCCAAGGAAGTTGCTGAGCAGGAGGATCCTGTCAGGCCATCTATAGATGATCCAACTTTGTTCACAGAAGAGTCTCACCTGCCTGTGTTGAATGGGCAAAGCAACATCATGCACTTGGAAGAAATCCAGAAGGTAAATATAGAGCATATCACAGGGGGTCTGGATTTGATGCCTGTCATATGGACTCCTCTGGGTGAGCGTTTTGCCATCATGCCTCCATGGCCAAGCAATGACAAGGAGCAGCTCAAAACATTTTCCTGTCTTTGTCGAAGGGCTACATGGGGTCTCATTCTGCATTGAGCCCACGTATAAAAACAGTTGACTGAGTGTTGAATCATATTTCAACACTGGCCTTTCTTTCTTTGTTCATGTCAGAAGCACCACAGTACAATTAATAATATCACCTAATGATGGGCAACATCAAGAGCATTTGGGACAGGTAACTTCAAGTCTTCCTTAGTACATGTTGAGAGGCATAGAATAGATTGACATATGTGTGAATTTGTCTGTTCTCCTCTGCACCCACAAATGATTGGTGCAAAATCCCTATTTTTTTAGGTTCACTTTGGTTCTGCCAGTTCTGGTCCACAGACTATTATTTGACTTCCAAGTAATCCAGTTCTTGCGTTACTGGAGCTGGGATTATCTTTTCCCCCACCACCCCATTTTAAGAGGTGGATAATTCTCTCTTTCCACATTATTTTCCTTGCATTCTCTGTTTTTCCTTCAAGATTCACATTCTGGGGAAAAATGTTTCTTTGATTTTAATGTGGGAGAGGCAGAATGATAGGTCAGTATCTTCTCCTGCATCTTGTGGCAACAACACAGCTTAGGAGGCCTAAGTCAGATCCTGTGGTACAAGCAGCCCTATCCATTGTGTACATTTCAGCACCTACCAGAGGTGACTGCTTCACTGTGCCCATTTGTAGGACTGGCCCTGTCAATGACAGAGGTTTTCAAAAGGACATGTCCTGACCTACAAATCAGAAGCAGTACCAGTGATGTAGTGAAGCTTCCTAAGCTGAAGTCCCTCAGATGTTCTTGAAGGACAACTCCCAGAAATCCTGGCCAACATAGCTAGTGGTGAAAGCTTCTGGGAGTTTCAGCACATCTGGGGACCAAAGGTAAGGAGCCATTGATGTAGTGGAATAAATATGACTAATTCCTGTAATGAGCAGTTCTAGATAAACTATCAAAGGAGGTGAGGTAAAGATTGACTTTCTCTATATGGTCTCTTTAGCTTGCTCCACATCTGCCTCTGCGAGTGACTGGACACTCATGGAACCTCATCTACTATACAGCAAGAGATGGATTTAGCTTGAAGTCTATGTATCGAAGCATGAGTGACTTGGTCTCTCCTGTATTGTTAGTTATCAGAGACACTGATGGCCAGGTAAACAGAGAGAGATGTAAAAGACAGTAAATCATACCTTATAGCTAGGTAAGTGAGATGTTTATGGGAAATGAGAATGGGAGTTTACTGAGGGTCTGACTATACTCTAAGAAGAATGTGTATTCCTTGTAATTGGACAACTTTTTTCTCCCACAACCTGTTCTCCTCAGTGATGCATGTTTTGGCAGTCAGATTTTCAAATTCAGCCTGTTTTTAGCTCTAGTAACCACTTAGAAATACTCTATCCCAGATACACAGCTGAGAAAAACTATGTGATATGACAAACAGGCATACTTCACCACTTGAAATGCATGCCTTTAGTCTGATCGCCGAACGCATATGGCTCACACTTACAGTTAGAGGAATTGGACAGAGAAAACTTTTTCCTTTCCAAAACATTTGATTTTGGCAGTTTCATGAGATCCTGCCTACATGAACTGTAGATTTTGGCATCTGGAGATTACAGCAGATTGCAAGGGGGAAAGGAGGAGAAAGGAAATATCCACAATGAAAAGGAAATGTTTATGCTGTGAGCTGCGTTCTGTGAGTGCAACTAGTATAACTCCTTGACCTGTAGTAGTGGTAAAGTTGTTCTTCCAGATGCAACTCATCCTAGTGTATGATTCAGAGGCTGCAGTAGGTCTCTGCCACAGAGATTGCCCTGCCAGCTGAGCCAACATTTTGCCCAACACATTTGTTCATCCTTGAGTTACTATTTTATATCTGGATTGATCTTGGGGTCTTAGTATGCATCAGCACATTTCTGATGTCTATTCATGCCTGTGCTCAGCTGAGCACAGACAAACGTACCAAAAGTTAGATCCCTGCCTGAAATCCTAGACAACTTTATAATCTTTGCAATAGAATGGTACTCTCAGAAAGACCCCCAGGTTTCAATTATAACTTGGAGATTCTTTAACACCTCTGATGCTTGTACTAAAGGTAATAATAATACAAAATATGGGTAGTCACATGTGAACAGACCACTATCTAGCCATGCTTTGTTGCTGTTTAAAACAATTTTCTTTTTTCACATATTTTTCAGATATTTGGTGCCTTTTCTTCCACATCTATCCATCTCAGCAGCTGTTTTTATGGCAATGGGGAAACATTTCTCTTTTCCTTCACTCCACAACTAAAGGTGATTTAAAAATATGTGTGAGCAAACAGTAAGGCAGCTAAACCAAGCACTATAAAAGGCTGCCTTCCTGGACAAACATTCCCGGGAGTAAGTACTACTAAACTCAGCAAGAAAAATACACCTGCATATGTATACATATATATGCTGATGATAGCACTAAAACAACTTGCATCTTTCTTACTTTAGATTTTTGTCCTAATCCTAAACCAGATTGTATTTTCAGTTGTACACGAGTTAATATAATTGCCATGAGGGCCAAATTCTAACTTGCAAAGGATCTCAAGAGCTGCATTCCAGCAGTAGGTGAAGATAAGACCACAGGGCATGGCCAATGCAAAGTGGCAGGACTAAATATAAAGGTTAGCAGTTTAGACATTTCCTTACTAATCAAAGGATAGCTCAATTTGACTACATGCTTAATAATTGGTAAATAACAAAATGTTAGGCAGCAAAGCTGAGCTCAGTTCCATGCAACACCTTCCTGGCATTTAAATATCCTCTTACAACAAAGAACCTTCTGGGCCAGATAGAGAAAACAGCTTCCCAGGCTGTACCTAGTTCACAGAGCAGAGGTTCCCCATTCCTGATTTCATGTGCATAGGAGGTACTAAGAAAATGTTTAGTAAGAGGAACCGGGTTGAAAACGACAGAATAAACACTGAATAAAGAAACACAACAATGTGTGCTTCTGCACATCAGCTGCTAAAGAACTGGGAATGGAAAAGTATAGTTGAAACTTAAGTAATGAAGGTAGCCTTCTCATCAGCAATTGTGTAAACAGAAGGTTGTTCTAGGTGGGCGTTCCATCTGATTCACCTTTTTTTTTTACTGCACCTTTTATTACAAAAAGTTTTCATCTGATTCACCATGGCTCTTCTTTTTTTACTGCACCTTTTATTACAAAAAGCTTATGTCTACAATATTTTTTTTCTATCCCATTCTAGGTATTTAAATGGACAGGTAAAAATACCTTTTTCATGAAAGGAGATGCAGACGCCCTAGCGATTGGTGGAGGCAGGTGTGTAACTATGAAAGGTGACAAAGTTTTGACAAAGTGCCTGCACACAACATGCAACACATTCCTTCTTCCAAAGGCATCTGGACTGTGTAAGACAAAATCAGATGTTCACCTTTGCCATAGATACCTCCATGGTATTTCTCCGTTTCATAATATCACACTGAAAGCAGCTACCTACTGTTCTTATCCCTAGTCCACTCTTTGATGGATATAGTTGACTCCGCATATAACAGGTTGATACTTTCGTATGGATCAAGTGAGCATTGAAAAAGCCATTTGTTGTAAACATGACCATTTTTCCTGAATCAGGACTGCTCATCTTCCACAGTAATGCTTTTCAGTTGACTCAAGTAAAAACGCATACTATATCACTATATCATTTTAAGTGTTGCTAATTTCACCACCATCATTGCTGTCTTTTTGTTTATTTACAGTGGCAGGTTTGGCTTGTGGCTAGATGGAGACTTGAACCATGGAGGAAGTCATCCCTGTGAGACATTCAACAATGAGGCATTATCCTTTAAAGAGGAATTTGTCATCCAAGATTTGGAAGTCTGGGCACTCTCTTGAGCCAAAAGGACAGAAATATATTGGATTTCTCATTGTGTGCACATTACAAATGCAAGGCGCAACATCAGCTAGTAGTCTCCTGCAGTGACTTCAGAAATTTTCTTCAAATGACCATAAACTTGTTATGGATTCTCTGTGTGCCCAGAGATTAGCAGAGAAGGGGAAAAAAATGATGGATTAACCTACTAGCTTTCACATATTCCAGTCCTCTTCCCTACCATACTATCCATTCCTCCATTTAGTAGTTTTGCCCCCTGCTTCTGAACCTATAATGATGAGTTAAGGGTTTCAATCCTTTCTTAATCATTTTGTGGTTTAAAGCATGGAGTATTTGCCGCCATTTATCTGAAGAGAACCGCCATGGATCCTTCATTGCCAAAAGAGGCATCTGCCTTATAGATCCAGTTACTGTCCTAGCTGGAAATCCCATTGTTCTCCTAGTTCCCATAGCTCTTACCAGGAGAAGAATAATTGTACAGCCATTAAAATGGGGAAATTAAAGATTCATTCATAGCAGTGCATCTTAGTTGTGAGATGACAGACCCCTCTGATGCTCCCTAATGCAACCATACATTTATACAGCAATCTTATTAGCCTTTGATCATATCACCATATATCCCATGTAAGAATAGATCCTTCCATGAGTATGTGAAACACGGAAACATCTCAAGACTAGTCTTGACAGCCCAAATAGACTCACGAGTGGTTGTTTAAAAGAAAAAACAAGCTCTCTCATGTCTAAAACAATAGGATATTTATTGGTGTCATCAGTATTTTGTTTTATGATTCAGATTGGCATACTGCATATGCAAACATAGGTTGTTAAACTAGTAATCAGTCTTTCTCTCCCCCCCTTGCCCCATAAAAACATTTGGGAACATTTAAAGTAATTGTTCTGTTACATGTGCAATTGTTTACTCAGTGTTTAAATGAGACTGAATAATATTTCCCCTTCGTTTTTGTGGGAAACTATATTTTTCTAGCACTTCCTTCGCAATATTTTGTGTAGAGTAACTACACTCCTTAGCTAACATGCTTTGAATTTGTAATAGAATATGGTGTCATTAAATACTTTTGGCACTGCACATGACATCAAAGATAACTGACAAAGAAATCAAGTGCTCCTCACTATGCCACTCCAGCATGGGAGCATTTAAAATGATTTTAAATATAAATTCAATAAAACAATTTTTTAATGATTGGCTCAAGGCCAGCCAGCTAGCCAGCATTGCTTGCCATTGAATGAATACCTCCTTTTATATTTATAGAATATAATATAAAGTGAAGTTAGAAGGGGCCTACAAAGCCATCAAGTTCAACCCCCTGCTCAATGCATGAATACAATCATAGCATATCTGCCAGGTGATTATCCAAGTTTGAATGCCTCCAGTGTTGGAGCACTCACCAGCTCCTAAGGTAACTGGGTTCCACTGTCGTACTGCTCCAACAGTTAGGAAGATTTTCCTGATATTCATCCAAAATCTGGCTTCCTTTAACTTAAGCCCATTGTTGCATGTCCTGCACTCTGGGATGATCGAGAACTGTATGACAGATAGCCTTTCAAATATTTGAAATGTGCTATCGTATCACCCCTCAGCCTTCTTCTCTCAAGGCTAAACATGCCCAATTCCTTCAGCCTTTCCTCATAAGGCTTGGTTTCCAACCCCCTGATCATCCTTGTTGCCCTCCGCTGAACTTGTTCCCATTTGTTAGCATCCTTCTTGAAGTGTGGTGTCCAGAACTGGACACAATACTCAAGGTGAGGCCTAACCAGTGCTGAATAGAGGGGGACTAGTACAAACTCTACATCTGTTAATGCAGCCTAAAATAGCATTTGCCTTTTTTGTAACCACATCACACTGTTGGCTCATATTTAGCTTGTGATCTATGAGAATTCCAAGAGACTTCTTGCTTGTAGTTTTGCTGAGCCAGGTATCCCCCATCTTGTTACTGTGCGATTGGTTTCTTTTTCCAAGGTGCAGTACTTTGCACTTATCCCTGTTGAATTTCATTCGGTTGTTTTCAGCCCAGTGCGGCATCCTATCGAAGTCATTTTGAATGTTGTTTCTGTCTTCTAGGGTATTTGCTATTCCGCCGAACTTGGTGTATCATCTGCAAATTTGACAAGCATTCCCTGCACTCCCTTATCCAAGTAATTAATAAAAATATTGAAGAGCATGGGCCCAGGACTTGTTAACTCCTCCCAGTTAGAAAAGAACCCATTAATCATCTGAGTACAATTCTGTAGCCAATTGTGTATCCACCTGACACTTGAGCTATACAGCTCACACCTAGTTAGCTTGCTCATCAGTATATCATTGGGCACTTGGTCAAAAGCTTTGCTGATGACAAGATATACTATGTCTACAGCATTCCCTCTGTCTATCTGGGAAGTGGCCTGATCAAAAAAACAAGATCAAATTAGTTTGGCAAGATTTGTTCCTGACAAATCCGTGTTGGCTTCTAGATATTACTGCATTGTTTTCTAGGTGCTTACACAATGACTGCTTTATGATCTGTTCCAGAATTTTGCATGGGATTGATGTCAGGCTGACTAGTCTGTAGTTCCCAGGTTCCTCTTTTTTGACCTTTTTGAAGATAGAGACAACATTGGCCCTCCTCCAGTCCTCTGGCATCGCCCATTTCCCATGATTTCAAGGAAATAATGGATAGCAGTTCTGAGAGTTCTTCAGCCAGTTCCTTCAGTACTCTCGGATGCAGCTCATCTGGCCCTGGAGATTTGAATTTGTTCAAGGTGGTAAAGTATTCCTTGACTATTTGTTTATCTATCTCCAGCTGCAAACCTGCCCCCCTCTTACTTGCACTTCCAGTTTGTTTGGAAGTTCATAGTCTGTCTTACGGGAAGAGATGGAACTAAAATAGGAACTGAGCACCTGCCTTTTCTTTGTCCTGTTATTTTTCCATCTCCATTGCGGAGCTGCGCCACTATGTCTCATGTTTGTCTTTTGCTACTCACATACCGCCTCACTAGACCTTTTAATTAGCTTGCATTTGTACCAACTTTTAAGTTTTCATCTTGGTTCTTGTCAGTGTGCTTCCCTTTCCTGAGAATGAAAGGACCTGACTTCCCTGTTTGGGGGCACTAGAAGGAAGGGGCTATATAAAAAACACCTCCTTATCACTTCACAGGCCTCCTTATCACTTCACAGGGACAGGATGTTGCAATACAGATCCTTGATAACAGCAATGATTAGCAAAGCACTTAAAAATATCTACAGATTGTGACATATTAGAAATCTAGTAGAGATAGCCAAGAATTATTCTTTCAAAAATGTCTCTGAACTGTGTTCAGAAGATAAGCATTATGGTTTTTAATTAATATATGTGTAAATCATTAAGGTGTTTTTTTGTGGGGGATACTGTTAGATTTGTAACTAAAAACAAAAACGAGTATTTAGATTGTACCAGTAGAAAAAGGCTGAACAACAACAAAGCTGCATACTGCCCATAGCCCTCAAACACTTTAAGGCCTCTTTAAAATGGAATAAATATTTTCTCAGCAGAATTGTGCTCTCAATCAGCTTATGAAAAATACAGAACCAATTTTGGTCGTTGTGCTGCTTGCTACAGCAGGGTGCTGGCAGCAAATACAGCACTAGCAACTGCAGAAGGATTCCATGGGTGTGAGATAGTTGCTGTAGTGTGAAAACTGTTCTTTAAGCAGAATGTCAGAAGTGAGCCCAGCTGATAATTTAAAAAGCCTTAGACATTTCAGTAGTCTTTGAAATGGCAGCTTGGTCAAGTCTTAGAAATTTGTCATAGTGAAACTCTAGATTCTTATTAAAATAAAATATGACTACAGTGGTGCCTCACTAGACGATGATAATCCGTTCCACTGAAATCACTGTTTAGCGAAATCATTGTCTAGCGAAAAGCGTTCCAATGTTTAATGCGTTCCAATGGGGAAGAATCGTCATTGTCTAGTGAAGATCGGCCATAGGAAAGCCGCTTTGCGAACTGCCGATCAGCTGTTTAAATTGCTGTCTTGCACACCTGTTTTGCGAGCGCAGAGCAAGCTATCAAAATCGTCGTCTAGAGAAAATCGGTTTGCGAAGCAGGGACCAAACATTGTCCAGCGAAATTTCCCCATAGGAATCACTGTTTTGCAAATTGCTATAGCGATCGCAAAAAGTCAATGTCTAGCGAAAAAGCTGTCATGCGGGGTAACTGTCTAGCGAGGCACCACTTTACTTTTTAAAGTATGATACTGTACTTAGAACTGGCTGTACTGTGTTAAATAAAACATATGAAGATGAATGCAAAAGGGGGTGGGAACAGAAGAAAACAGTGTGATGCTTAACAATGTGACCACACTAGATATATACAGTCAAGGTCCTGTTGCTGATCGCTGTAGCTGCATGATTCAACTGGCTTTTGCATTAAGGTCAATTTGATGATTGTGCTGACAATTGACTATAGTAGTCAAAATGTCATTTAGCTGATGAATTTTTAAAAAGCCCAAGTAATCCTTGAATAGAGGTTTTACTTTGGAGGCATGTCTTAATGTTACATTTAAGGGACTTCTGAAATGGTACATGGCTTGGCTGTCAGCAAAGACATCTCAGAGGCTTAAGTCTTCTAAGAAATAAGGCTATTTAATGAAATGGCAAAACACGCCCAGGAACTATTGTTCCTACAGTTCTTTAGTGAGAGACACTAGTCAGAGCTGCCTAACACAGGCAAGTTGCAACTAGAGTAAGCCCACTGCATTAGTGGAGATTTGGCAAGTCAACACCTATGTAAATTCTACCAATTCAGCAGACCTACTCTAGGTGTGACTTCTGATTGGATTTTCTTTGTAATGTACATGTGTTATTCATGTAGAGATATAAAAGCCCTGCTTCTGCAAGCTTGATTCTGGCAAAAACTACCTGAATATTTTCAAAGCTCTCTATTCATCTTAGAGGTAGAGTCATTCTAAATGCTAATTCACTGCATTCAACCTGACAGAACATGAAACCTCTGAAATATGGAAAGTGTCCTAGGAAAAGCAGGTTATTTAAACGCCTCAATGGCAAACACAGAAACCTAGCTATGCTGAATGGAACTGTTACGGGCCAAGCCCATTTCCCAAAATCTTAGCTCTGGCAAGAAAAGATGTAACCAGCTGAACCAAAGTCCAATTTTTTTTAGTATGCGTTATAGAATCAGCTGGGACTTCCCTTAAGGGCAGAGAAGACCAGGAAGATACAGTGTAATGGAACTTTATATCAAAACAAAGAACCATAAATACCTTGCAGTTGTGGACAGGTATATATTGGAACCACAAACGCGGCACTCACACCAGAATCAACATGAGAGACACTGCAGGCTAAAACTGGAAAAATCAGCAGTAGCTGAACATGCCCTAAAACAAGCTGGACATGAAATTCTATTTCAAAATACTGAAGTACAGTGGTGCCTTGCTTAATGATTGCCTCGTTAAACGACAAAACCGCTTTACAATGAAGTTTTTGCTATCGCTTTTGCAACTGCAAAACGATGTTCCTATGGGGAAAATTCGCTTAACAATGATCGGTTCCCTGCTTCGGGAACCGATTTTTTGCTGAACGATGATTTAGAAGCAGCTGATCGGCGATTGTAAAATGGCCGCCCACTGTGCAAAATGGCTGCGATGATTTAGAAACAGGTGATGGGTGATTCTAAAATGGTCGCCCGCTGTGCAAAATGGCTCCTGGCTGTGTTTTCAGGACGGATTCCCCGCTTTACAGGCAACTAAAATGGCTCTCCCTATGGAGGATCTTCGCTGGATGGTGAGTTTTCAGCCCATTGGAATGCATTGAACCGGTTTCAATGCATTTCAATGGGCTTTTTCATTTCACAAGACAATGATTTCGTAAGACGGCAATTTTTGCGGAACGAATTAACATCGTCTTGCGAGGCGCCACTGTACTGGACAACACCAGCAATCATTATGTTAGACTGCACAGGGAAGCCATTGAAATCCATAAACATCAGCATAGCTCAACAAAAAAGAGGAAAGTCTGAAACTGTACAAGACCTGGCTTCCAGCATTGGAAAATACGGCCTGCAGAAGGTCAGCGACCTCTACCCAGCCAGAAGGACCAGGGATCATTGCACAAAAAAGACCTGTCAGTCCTGCTTGCTGAAGTCTGGACAAAACAGTTTCAATATGAGACATGTGAGAATCAAAATCAGAACTGAAAATGGCAACATCATCAAGATAAGCACTTGCAAAAGGTAAACCTTGTAAAAGTTTGTCTATCATCCTTTGAAATGACGCACCGGCGTTCTTCAAACCAAATGGCAATCTGCGGAAACGGAAAGTTCCCACGTGCTGAAAAGGACAAAAGCTGTTCCCACAACTATAAATACTCAACTATCTAACAAACAGCAAAACAGCATGGACTAAGTTCCTACTCCAGTCCTCTGAAGATGCCGGCCACAGAGACTGGCAACACGTCAGGAAGAACAACCTTCAGAACACGGCCAAAGAGACCGAAAAAACCCAACCAACCATCAGCCTTCGAGAATACAAAGAACCATGAAGTCGTACAAGCTCATTGGTTAAAATCTACTATTTGGATCCTACACCTAATTGGGTACAAATGTGAGGAAAACAAACTAATTGATTCCCTTATAAATGTATGGGCCATGCCCACCTCTCCTAAATGGCCTTTTTTAGGGATGTACCACACTATTTGGAAAAAAGTATATCCCAACTTCCTTAGCTTATTGATGTTTATGTTACCAAGCAGGCCCCAGATGTATGGCCTTCAGCCTCTGGCTCTCTGCTGGGTTTTATGTTTGAGATCTGTGTTTAGCTTCTGGGCAACATTCCTAAACTAGGCCATCTGCTAGCTGAAAGGTGAGGGGGGTGAAAGGTGTAAACTAAAGTGTAGGCATTTGACGAATTCTAAAAGCCAAGGAGGAAATAATACTGAGGGGAACATAATACAAAGTATAATAGGACCTTTTATTCTAGTCAAGAAGAAACTACTTCCAGCCAAATCCAGGTCTCAGAACCATCTACTAACAGTTCACCAACATAGGCCGAAGCATATGTGAATTGTGATGGGTGTATGTATGTGAGAGAAATCACACAATCCTGTTTACCATGCCAAAATGGAGCAGGGGGAGGGATAGAAAACCATGCTCTCTGGCTTTTGTAACTTACCATTACCCTGTGATTTTTTGCTTGTTCAACCCAAGCATTGTTTAGCCACACTTTCTACCCACTCCACTGCTATAGAACACAGGCTGGCAAACATGGCAAAATCGACATTTATTACTAATCTAAATAACTTCACCTCTGGAATAATTTCGTGAGGCAACAAGAAAGCCACCTAGTTCCCAAATGAAATTAGCTATGTGAATTAGCATAGGCATCCTTCAGTCTCAAGAGATTATGGTAACGTGCTCTGTATGGAGGACTTGGAACAGCATCTACTGTTTTGACGCGGTATGCGAAGCTGGAGCGTCCCCTCCAGGGCACGAAGCCTGGGTAAAATAATATGGAGAATAGGCTGTCATCCAAGCATCAAATCCCCACTCTCCATGTCACTGAAATAGTCCAATAGAAAGGCAAGAGCCAATACAACTGGTTCCAGCGACGTCACAGGAGTTGAAAGAACACGAACTGCCTCCGGATTTTTCCTCGAGGTTGACTCCTGAAGCCTTTTCCATCAGTGGATACAGCCACAAGGCAGTGGAGGTTTGAAATTGGAGTTTTCCTTCTCCTAGATGGGCTGCCTCCCAAGGCTGATGAGTCCCATTTACCCGGACTATGTGAATTATTGCTTAAAATACAGTATACCTGTTTAAAAGGATAGTTTTTTACCTAATTTTTCAAAGTCATGTGTGGCATTCTAAAAATAAGCTTAACATGTATTTAGAACACGTATCACCTAAAGTAGTGAAAGACATCTGTTTGCAAGCATATTTTGCATACCTTTTACTGCAGCTGGTAACTGAAAGGTAAACATGGGCTTAGTTTGCAAGTCTACTGTTTAAGAGTAGATCTCTGAGGAAACTGCCTAACTGCAAGAAGTACATATTTCCCTTAACATTAAGTTGGACATTCACATTCTATGGAATTCTGCACATTCCCAGAGTCTGAGCAGACATCATACATTAAATAGATTTTGCCATTTCTTCCATTATGTTCCAATTGGTCAAGACCAAACATTTGCTTTACCTAAATTAGTTTGTTACAGTAGATTTGGAAGGTAAGTCAAGTTAAACATCAAGGTAAGTTTTTATTACTAAGTCAAAATGAATATAGAGAAAGATTCACACTCAGATATGCAAAATACAGTATTTGTAACATTTACAAGTTTGGAAATTCAGTATTACTTTAGAGATGGGGTGTGAGCGTGGCCTTGTCCCTCTTTATAGTAAAGTGTAACTTAAAGATAGCATTCTGAAAATCTCGGCTGGAAGAGAATGAACTTTCTCCAAGGATGAAATCCAAGTTCTCACAATTAGCAGCACATTTCTCATATACGAATCATATTTTTTCAGTATAAATTGCACATCATATAATTCAAACAAACAATAAACTATTCTTATCTATGGAAATGTAAGATATTGGCCAAAATCCTGCACTTAGTGTAATAAATCAACTAGAGCAGGCCCACTGAGTTAATGGGGATTTAGTGGGTCACCTCTTCTGTAAATTCCATTGATTCAAAGGGGCATATTCTAACTACGACTTACTATGCTAAATTAAGTTACAGTCAGAGTAGGCCCATTTAAATTCATGGAACCTATGGAGGAGTTGGCTCACTTAAACCCCATTAATTTAATGGGAGTAACATTACTGTGTTTTACTACTAAGAAACAGGATTTTGGCTACTAACTCTGCAATCATATGGTGGTACAGCAAATACCATCAGAATGTTTGGATCACTCATAGACAGAGGTCTCATCTTGGAAGGCAATATCTAGAGCCAGATGGCTTCTCCTACACTTGCAAAAATGTTCACAACCTTTGGCTTTTGAACCCCAGTTCTGATAGTATGGAGGGGGGGAGAGAAAGAAAGAAAAAGGAATGGCTCATAGTGTCCAGAGCAGATCATTCCTAGTCCCCAGAAAGGAAACTGAATATGGGTTCACTAATTTAGGAACTGATAAAATGACTTCCTTCGTATCCATTCCAACAGGACTGAAACCATTAAAACAGAAGACACATACATTTCAGAACAGGAAAACAAAAGGTAAATGCTGTACAAAATGCTGTACATAAGCCTGACAAGAAACTGAAAATCTTACGTTTACATTCTTTATACCATGCCCCCACCAGAGTGCTCTGCATCTATTCATTCTAGTTAATTTGAAACATAGGGAGGCAAAATCCCCTTGTAACATGTACATCTTCCTTTAAGATTCCAAACAACTTCTTGCATCTTACATTCAAAGGCTACCATGTGCTTAGTAGCTTTACCACTGCCAATATTTCTAATGGTTATTAAAAAAATAAGCAGCAATATTTCAAAACACTTAAAAATATAGTATCTTTGAGTTAATGCACATTCAGCTGTCTCATGACTGAAGGGAATGATGGAGGGTTTTCTAAAATGATCATGTACATTTTCTAATAAAATATAAGGAAAGTGGCATGAGTTCTAGTCTTCCCCCTGCCGAATATTGGTGTTTGTGTCAAGTTTGTGCAACTTGTTGTGCTGAGGTGTGCTGCAATGCACCATCAATTAGCCATGGCAAATTACACAAATCTTAAATGAACAACAAAAGGATTCTGGCCATTTTGTATATAGTGTTTTCTCCTGGTAACTAAACTATAGCATGTTGCTGATTTTATGAAATGTGTTAAAACAATAGGCCGGTCTCTCTTTTTAAATTCTATATATTAAAGATTTTCAGAAGTCAATTCTTACTTCTCTAATGCAACAAGGGGGTATTCGGCTAGTGATGAATGATGTCTTGGCAATTCAAGAGATTATGCTGCAAAAGCCACAGCTTTACAATATATACACCAAGTCATTTTGCCACTGCCGTTTTCCAGAATGAACGGTGCAGACTGATTCTGTTATTTTACAAAATACTCTTATTTGAAAACAAAACATGATAAAAATTTATCTGTATTGTTTACATGTTGTGCATATGTTTAAAAAAATCATTTCCATAACTCAGTCATTAAAAAGTTTTTTGCATGTTGATGTATTACTGGCTTCCTTTGCACCATTCCTTTCATCATCTTCAACTGTATTCCACCCTGGCTTCATTGGAGTAAGTTCAGGAGCAACCACATCACCATCCTATCAAAGCATCAAATTGAAGAAATTTAGGATTCTGCTGGAAGCCAACTGTTCAATTCTTTCGTTTATCATATCTTATGACGGGCAGAATAAGACATCAAGATGTTTGTTCACACTAAGGTATGCAGACTTGTTTTTCTGGACTTCCTTACAGGCTCTCCTGCCTGGGAAATTCTTGGAGCTGTAGTCCAAAAACCACAAATCTATACACTTCTACTTTGCATGCTATGTTCCAAGAAGAATCCGCAACTGTGTATCTGTGTCCAAAATACTGTATTTGATGTTTGTGTGTGCATTAGAGCATTCATAGACATATTTGCAGCTAACTGATGAAAGTGCTGGTTGTATGGCTAATCCTGTGCACAGGCAGGCACCTGGTATGCACCTAGCAACTATTTTCAATTGGCTGCAATAATTTCTGCAACTGCTCTTAAACATGCACGAACATCTAATAAGATTCTGGACAGTTACACACTATCCTTCCATTCTAAAATGGGAAGAAAGTACAGTGGTGCCTCGCTTAACGGGTGCCCCGTTTAGTGAAGAATCCACATAGCGATGAAGATTTTTCCATCGCTTTTTGCATTGTATTGTGATTTTTCCTATAGGGAAAAATCGCATTACGATGATGGCTCCCCCCCATCATCGCAAATGCTCCGTTTTTGCAGAGCTTGCGATGAGGGGGGGAATCCCTCATCCCGTGGGTGAATAATGCTGTTCCCTCCTTCCTTGAAGGATATATCATAATGTAATTGTCTATAGTTAATATCTTCATTTGAAAATTGTGCCATTCACAAAACACAGTAGATGTAAAACTGATGATAATGTTGTTACAGTTGTTTTTATAATGCAGCTATTGTTCCTAAATTTCTGGGATTGTTAGGGTTCTAAACAGGTCTAACAGCTTGTACTAATCTCTTGTACAGTACTTTAAAGAAATATGGAATTACTCAAGATTCATATGAACATTTTAATAATAGTTTTAAAAAAATCAAGTCTCTTGGATTGCAACATCTAAATATCATAAATACTTAAAATATGTATAAAAACAGAAACATGTGTTCCCTTCCCACCTACATCCTCCACCTTGGGTGGGCAACTGTGGCTCTCTACGTGTTGTCAGATTCTAATTCGCTGTAGCTGACAAAATCAACAATGAAATATGCGCTGACTTGGAAGTTAACAACATCTGAAGGAACACATTTGCTCACCCCTACTTTAAAACAATCTATGGAAAAGTCCATCAGAATGCATAAGAAATAACAGGTACAGGACAAAAGAGATCTCACAAAATCAACTAGATTAG